AAGCTAAAACAAAATCAAACAAAATGACAGTATTACAACGTGAAACTAACACAAGAATGCAAACAAGCTCTACTATATCCACTGAAAATATCTGCGTTGTGATGACCGTTTCTCACATTTTCCAATAATTTTTCACCATTCGCTGAGCCATCGTTAGTGTTGACATCTGTTGAACATAAGCAACTTGCGTGCAAGATAAATACGGACCAGCCGTTTTGAATGCACTTCGAAACTGATGAGATCTGAGAGCCCTGCTCAAGACCTTCACTTAGCACTAACCTGAAACAGAGATTCATCTCACTTCAAACTGACCACTGCTCAAATCGATTTACCAACGCTCGAAACGATACATTGCGAAAGTAAGTTTTTAATCCCACAATCAATTGTTCACAACAAATGAAATCACTTCACACGACAACAAAAAATACAAATAAACCTCCCAACTAAAATGCACTCAAATACACTAGCATCTGCCAAAAAAACAATGGAATCCCCGCTTTATAAACTCTCGAATCAGAACATTTTAAGCGATTCAGTATCTTTCTGATACAAAACAAAAACCGGAGGAAAGCACTCACATAGGATCCCACTGTCCAGCAGTACCGAAACCTTCGATCAAGACAACCAAACCGGTTGTATTCGTTGACAAATCATCAGTTGCTAGCACAAATTCGCTTTTCAGCTTATCACATTCAGAATCTTTCTGAAAAAAAANCTTCTCTTAAGAGAAAAATATTAAGAAATTTACAGTGTAACAACTGAAACGCTAACCAGCCAAAAAAAAAAAGACCTAGCAATGGTACAATATGAAAAAGTATCAAAGCTATCAAAGTCCATTAGAACAGAAACATGTTAATATCTGACGAATCTGGATTCGAAGTAACATTACTACCACGATAACTTCACTCAAGTAAATCATCGCAAACATTCAGTTAGGTAGCGTAACCGCCCAGAAAGCATTCACCAAATATCCTCAGAAAGAAATCCAAACATTCACGTGCTTGGAAATATACCTCAGCTGGAAGCGGAAACTCGATAAGTTTCATCGAAAATTTCTCCATCAATATCGACGGTACTTCATGGCGAATTGCGTCCAGCAAGTGCGCAACATCATTTCGCTGTTGTTCATTATCGGCATAATTACTCTCCAACACGAACACCTCACCCGTTTTCTGCAAATTTGCATCCTATCATTCATTTATTCAGTTGTGCAAAATCCAACGTGAATGTAATATTTACAAATTTACAAATAATATCTCTACAAATAATCTGGAACTATTTATTCTACCTACAAATATCTTACAAATAATAACTGTCCACAAATAATTCGCATATTTACAAATAATCTAACATTAACAAATCAAATTCGAACATCCACAAATAATGTATCT